TGAGAACAGCGGCCTGGCAGGGCTGCACGGCTTCAGCCTGGGCCGAGGGCTTGGCCCCACCACGGTCCTGCCCTAGCAGACCCAGGGCTGGGGCCAGATGGCCCCGGGATGCGCCTGTCCCTCTGGATGTGCTGAAGTCCAAGCTTTGCTGTCTCTGGACACTGTTGTCCCCAAACCCTGGCTCTGGGACGGTGGCCACCTCTTTCCAGTGAGGTGCTCTGTGTCCCTTCCAAACCTAGGGACGTTTATCAGCTTCCTGTGGTCGCTTATCTCCATAACTGAGGGTCTGTGCTCAAAGGGAAATAAAACGTGGGGGGAAACCTGTCTGAAATGAGCAGCAGAGAGCTGGAGTGGCACCAGTGTTGTGCCTTTCAGTGCCCGGCACAGCAGAGGAATGACTGCCTCTCCTCCCCATTAATGCACAGCTTTTATTTCCCAAGCAGCTATCGGAGCCACTGGGGAACTGGCCCTGTGACTTTCTTGGTGAGAGCAGAGAATGGAGACAGCTGAGTAAATACAGCCTAAATCACTGCTTTCCTGGCCATTCCCCCACCCTTCCCTCACATGTGAAGGGCTGGCGTGTCCCCGAGGTTGGGTTGGCCTCTGCTCCACTCATTGGTGCTTCCATGATGTGGGAAAGTTCAAGCCATGGCTTGGTTTCTTTGGTGACTCTCTTCTCTGACGTGGGCACATCGTGCTTCGAGCTGCCCGTGCAGTTCATGGCCAGGCTTTGGTCCTCCTAAAGGCGATCTCTGCCCCAAAACCCTCCTTTTTTAACTCGCTAGGACAAGGTTTTTAAGCACGCAGGAAAATCCTTTCTGCCCGCAGTTGGGTCTTGCTGGACAAAAGCTCTGGCTTGGGACAGAAACCGCAGCTCAGCTGGAATGCGGTGAGGAGCAGAGTGGTTTGCAGAGCCAGTTTGGAGCCGTGGCAGAGCGCCGGCGCTTTGCTGCAAGTGGGGTGTGTTTACAATGAAAAAAAGGAGTATTTATAATATAGAGGGCTCTTTTAATTCCTCTGGGAATAGCTGGAGCCACAGCTTGGAGCTAAAGCAACCGAGTCATGGAATACAAAAGGCAAACAGAGGAAGGGACAGTGGATTTCTCAAGTTGAAAGGTCTTGCCTCTCTGAACCAATACCCAAATAATGTTGGCCTGCTAACATGGTTGCTTTTCACCTCGTAGGTTACTTCACGTGATCACTGCGCTGTGCAGAGCTGCTAATAAATCCTTGTATAAATTCCAAATACCCTAGGGAGTGAGATTTTAAGCAGATGAGTTAGCGAAGAGCAGCTGGAATTTTTTCATGTACTCATGTTTTTTTAGAACTGTAATTTTTGGAGAAAGCAGCCAAAATGCAGCTCCTGGTTTGTTTCTGAGGGAAAAAAACAAAACTAAACAAAAAAAAAACCCCAAAAACCCTAAACCCAGTCCCATGAACACTCCTAAAATGGAAGTAGTGCAGTGTTGCTGCTTGGAGGTGGCTCTCATGAACAAGACAGGTATCGCTCACCCCAGGCAGGGGTTTATTTGGCTCCTCAGGCCCCTCCTAACCATAACATTCCCTTTTTCAGTGAAACGTTTCAGATGTTCCTTCAGTTCCTTGGAGTTCAGCGAGTAAAGCGCAATATTTAGTGGAACACTGAGCAGCAGATGCTGTGTATCCCCAGCAAAGGGCAGCTGGTGGCAGCAAACAGGACGCTGCTGCTCCTCAGGCTCAGTTTTCCCTTTTTGCTAGAGGAAAGGTTTGTTCTCATTGTAACCCATTAACATGTAACATTTTACAGTTCAGAACTGGATCTGATGCAACTTGGACAGATTTGAGCTGTGGTTTTAAATATTTTTATGCATTCTTTCGCCTCACTGGAGGGAAAGAAGCGCTTGGTCTCACTTCGAGTCAAGCTGCACTTCGAACTGCACTTGGAGCTGGGTTAAAAAGCACAGGAACCACATTTGAAACCTTAAGATGCTTTTATTTATGCGCTGGGCGCACACAAAAAGACTTGTAATGTGTTTTTTGTTTCAAGCCGCTGCATTAAACAAAGAAAGTATTGACAGCAGTTAATGAATCGTGGGATTGTTTTCGGGGCGCTGCGATAGATTTACCAAAGGTATCTAAGATGTCTGATGCATGGGATTTTCAGAGCAGCCCAAGCAAGTGCTGGCCAGTGCGGACACACGAGGTTCCTCTCCCAGCAAACCTGGAGCCGGGCCCAGCCGAAATCTTTTGGCAACCTGCTCCCTCCCCTGCGCATGCAGAGCCCCGGTTTGGAGGTGAGCCGCCAGCTGACAGGCTCGTGCGTGTCCCGGGCTCTCGACAATGCCTTCCTCAAATCGCCTTCCCTGCAAGGAGCTGTTTTGGGGCTTTGGGAAGTCTGTGTTCCCCTGGAGAGGACAGCGCTGGCATTAGCCGTGTGGATTTGGGTTTCCCAGGTGGCTCCTCACCCCAGTTTGTGAGCACTCGATCCCCATAGGGGCTGAGCGCAGGGACGGCAGGTGAGGCTGCTCTGGGACCTTTTAATTTATTTGTATTTTTTTATATCCCCAGCTGGGATGTGTTGAGCAGAGCAGCACAGAGCTCTGCATTCCCACCAAGGAAGGAGTCAGCAGAGCAGGAGACCTGCTTTTTGGAGAGATTCAGTGCTCCAGAGCAACTCTCTCCTCTTCCCACCCCTCCACGCAGCTCTGCTTTTTAAAAGCTACTGAACGAGTTTGCCAGGACTGAGTTTTTTTGTCCTACCAGCCTTTTTCGGCTGCACTGGCTTGTCTGAGGCGCCAGGAGTTGGGGCTGGGATCTGCAGGCACAGGCTGGAGTGCAGCATTGACCCCGCTGAATTTGGGCTGTGCCGGATCAGCTCCCTCAGCCCCCAACAGGCAGTATTCAGAGGAGCAGGCACAGTGCGCCTGGCTATAAATCTTCTCTTTGTACTCTGAATTATGAAGTAATATTTTCCTGGCCGGGGCTGGTTGGACCGGGGAAGCGCGGGCTCTTCCCGGCACAGTGGGGGCTTGCACAGTGGCCAGGCTGGGATGTGCTGCTTCTCCTGCAAACATCCCTTTATCCCCAGGGTTTTTCCTTGAATCCTGCAGCCTGGTGTTGCTCCAGAGAAGCTTTTCAGCGACCCAGATCAGGCTCCATCCTGTTCTCTGGCCGCAAGCATCCTTACCTCCCCGAGGGCAATGCCTGCTCATTCATGGCAAGCACAGCCCTGCTGGGACGCTTGCCCGGGCTCAGGGAACTGGCACAGGTCCTGGTTGCTGCACAGGTTTCGTGTGCCATGGCCTCTTTGTGCCTTTCTTTGGCAAGGGAAGGAGCCCACAGCATGGTGCTGGGCTGCAGAGAGGTGAAACCAGCTCCTCTCAAGGGATTTGCACTGATTTCAGACTTTTTGGTAGCATGCGGGAGAGAAGAGGGGTTTGTAGCTGATGTGAACTGTCCCGTGTTGCTGTCCCGAAAGGGTTATAGTGAAATACTGCAAGTCGCCAGTGCTGGTGCCTCTCGGAGCGGCCTTGGCTCCGTGCCGTGCTTGGTTGTGCATTGACCCTGCCCTGGCTCCCTTTGCCTCCCTCTGCAGAGACTCCGGCAGCCCTGAGCAGCGCCTTCCCGCTCCCTAATAGTTTTCAGATGAGATTTTGGAGCTGAGTTTGATGAGTTTTGGGCCAGAACAGCTCAGGACCCGCAGCGTTTCAGCAGGCGAAGGCTGATTTCTGGCTGCCCCGGTGCTTTGTAACTCCATTTCTCAGCCGCACACCGTGGCTGGGATTTGCCTGGAGGAGGTGAAAAACTGGAGGGGATGGGAAAAGAGCACTGGGAATGCCCCAATTCATACTTCAACAACGTGTTATAACCCAGGTTTGTTTGGTTTTGATGGATTTCTGGGCAAGGCAGGCAGAATCTTCTGCCATTTCTCTCCGAATAGCTGAAAGGCAGTTAGCAATTCGAGGCAGACTTGAAGGGTTCTGAGGGTTATTTTCACTCCACTCGCCTCTGTCGCTGCAAAAAGCACCCGTGCCCACACTTGATGCTGTTGCCTCTTTGGAAAAGTTCAAAAATGTACTTTGCTCAGAGCAAAAGCTTTGAAGTGCTTCTCTGTGGGAATGGCGAAGCATCTCTAAAGCCTTTCTCCAAAAGCTTGGTTAACCTACATTTGTGGGTTCAGAAAAATGGCTCTGTGGGGGGTGATGCATGAGGAGACTCAAAGGTGAACTGTGAAATGTAATCGATTTAACAAGAAAAGGTTAAACCTGTTTGTTTTGCCTCCATTCACGGCATCCAGCTGGTGGTTGCAGGGTCACCCTTTTCTGTGTGCAGAAGTCCCTGCATAAAGGCTGTTTTGTCCCACTTGTTGCCTTCTTGTTTGCACAAGTGCTGTGAGCAGGGCGAGGAGTGAACCCCTTTGGGATGCAGAGCCGGTGCCTGGTTGTAGCAGTGAGGAGGTGTCACTCCTGCGCTCCTCTCTTGCTTTTGGGTGCATAAATTGGCATTAACGTGCCCTGGTTGGATCCAGGGCTCAGTATCGGTGGGTAGGTAGGAGATAAACGAGTCCAGGCTCTCTCAGCTGAACCCCTAATTTGAATTTTGGCATTTTGGGAGGGTATGGGGTACAAACTGTGCAGTAACAGCTCTTCTTCCCTTTGCAGGGAAGGGAGATGTAGCATGCCACACTGTGCTTTTACCCTCTGGACTCCAAGAAACCTAGTGCTTTTTTGGTGAAGCGGATCCTGATCTCCCATTTCTTCGCTGCATGCCCGCTCACGAGTGCTGGATTATGTTTGTCTCCTTCTCCCTTTGCTCCATAATTTGGCTGAATCGTGGCTTCAAGCTGAGGAAAAGGGGCTGCACCTAAGCGCACCGGGGCACCCAAACCGGGCTCTTTGGGGTGCTGGTTCAACACAAGAGACGTTCAGAGAGCGGATGGGGGAGAGCTGCCCCTGAGATCCCTCCTCTCCCATCCGAAGCGTGCTGCCTCGCCCTTCAGAGCCCTTTCTCCCCACACCAGAATGGGCAGCACTGACGGATTCCAGTACCGTGCCCTCTACCCCTACCGCAAGGAGCGTGAGGAGGACATTGATCTGCTGCCTGGGGACATCCTGGTGGTGAGCAAGGGGGCCCTGCAAGCTTTGGGCTTCAAAGAAGGAGATGAGCAGACCCCCAATCAGATAGGGTGGATCTTGGGCGTCAACGAGCGGACCAAGCAGAAGGGCGACTTTCCCGGCACATACGTGGAGTACGTGGGGCCTGTGAAGATCTCAGTCCCTTCTCACCGGCCCCGAGTGCAGAGACCCCTCCCTGCAACGCCGGGGGCCAGCGGGGGGCGGCTGCCAGAGGCTCTGGAGCAAGGTAAGCGGTTGGGTTGCCTGGGGGCTGTGGGCTTCTGCCAAGAGAAAAGCACGTTATTCCTTCTCCATCTGCATGGAGCTCCTTGTGGGAAGCTTTGTCCCACTCTTACCTCTCCAATATCCTTTTTCCTCTCTGACTTGTGAACATCTGAGGTCTTTGGTCCCTCTCCCTGCTCAGCCAAGGGTTTTGCTCTTATTTAGGAATAAATCCTGACATCTCCCAACCACCTCCCTGCCTCTTGAACCGCCCAGGGCATTGCTCCTTGCCAAGAGCGGCTCAGCCCCGCTGAGACACACAATTACTTGTCTCTGGGCAAGAGGAGAAAAGTCAGGATCTAAAAAAGAGCACTTCCAAGAACTGCAGCTAATTGCTCGTCTGCCTGGCACTCGTCCCTCCCCACGGATCGCAGAGCTCTTGCTGGGGCCGGGCATGGGCCCTCCTGCACCTGCGGCTGCCTCCCAGCTTGGCACGGACCTGGTCCAGGAGCTGGGAGAGCCACCGACCCTCAGCACTGCAGCAGCTGCCTTCTCTTTGCCTGTTTTTATTGCTTTTAGGCACATAAGCCCTGTGG